GGCGTAGCCAGCGGGGTTCCGCAAGGTTCAGTGCTCGGTCCACTCTTGTGGAACCTAGGCTTTAACTGGCTCCTCCGGGGCGTCCTTCTCGCGGGCATGAGTGTCATATGCTATGCGGATGACACTCTGGTCACTGCCCGAAGAAGACATTTGGGGCCGCGGCTCGGCTGGTGTCGGCGGGCGGCACATTAGTCGCTCGCAGAATACGACGCCTCGGCCTGAAAGTCGCGCTGGAGTAGACTGAGGCCCTCTTCTTTTCGGGGCCAGCACGACCCTCCCGACGCGTTGAGGACGTTAGGATTGACGTCAAAGGCCAAATGAAATATCTGGGCCTCACGCTTGACGGGAGGTGGCATTTTAGCCCGCACTTCAACGGGCTAGCGCCACGCCTCCTCAAGGCAGCCAGCGCACTGAGTTGGCTCCTCCCGAATTTGGGAGGGCCACAAACAAGGTGTCGTCGACTTTATGCCGGCGTTCTGAGGAGCATGGCGCTGTATGGCGCCCCAGTCTGGGCGGACGCACTCAACAAGAGGAAGAATGCTGCCCTTCTGCGCAGACCCCAGCGGGCCATAGCGCAGAGGGTCGCAAGGACCTACCGCACGGTAGGGCACGCTGCGGCGTGCGTCCTCACTGGTACTCCTCCTTGGGAGCTAGAAGCTGGGGTCCTGTCTGTCATATATCACTGGATGGCAGACCAGAAGGCGCGTGGAAAGCGCTCGGCCCCGGAGCTGTGCGGCGCCGTCACGAAGACATGACTCGCGCGCAGTTTGGCCGCAATTGGTCCTGTTCTGGACGGTAAGACCGCACGGGTTCCTCACGTCCCGTCTGGCGCAGGTGCTGACCGGGCATGGCTGCTTCGGTTCGTACCTGCATAGAATCGGGCGACAGGAATCCCCGTACGTGCCACAAATGCGGCGCGGCGGATGACACGGTGCAGCACACCCTCGCGGTCTGCACAGGCTNCTGCAGGGAGTCGTGCTGGAGACGCACGGCTCCGCTTGGTACCCCGATCTTCTTGCGTCAGAGGCGAACTTCAAACGGCTCAAGGCGTTTGCGTACAAGTGGCATGCGAGGAGGACAGCACCGAACAGTTCGGCGCTATAGGGTGCCACCCGTTGTTGTGATAGTCGCAGCCCCAGAACGGGGAGAGTAGCGCATAGGAACAAGGAAATAGATCAAAGAATTTGTAGGGAGTCAAGCGTTGCGCGCGGCAGAGTGCAACCTGCTACGGCAGACGCAGTTCCGCGCGCATCTCCCGCGATTCGGCCAGTTATAACCGCAAGGTTGGCATGGCCATGGGTGGTGGTGGGTGTCCCCCGGCAGTGGTGACGGTGCGCAAAGCATTTCCTCCGCGACAAAAAAAGGGGGGCCCAAAACGAGCTGTGCCTAGGGGCCCCGAGAAGGTTAATCCGGCCCTGCACACTGCGCTTCTAGTCCCAAACTAAGCAAAGCTTGTACTATGGGTACTAGACAACGGATATAAACATACTTAAATACTTTTTTTTTGTAAATACCTACATATTATACATAGAAAACACCCAGTCCAATACAAACAAATATGTTCATGCACACAAATGTTTGTACTGTGCGGGAATCGAACCCGCTGCCTCCGGAATAGTAGTCCGTTTCGAACCACTACACCAAACGGCCGACAATTAACGAATAAAATAATCAAGCCATTAACGAATAAAATAATGAAAATTTAATGAATCTTGCTTTAGAGATCAGCGAATTGAGCTGTGACAGATAGCTGAAGCCATAGGCATTAGCAAGGAACGTATTGGCGATATTTTTCATACTAATTTGCACATGAAATAGGGGTGCGCGCGATGGGTGCCAAAAATGCTCACGCCGCTCGACAACCAGCGTCGAGTCACAACTTCGCAGGAGTTTTTTGACATCTTTGGCCATAATCCTAACAATTTTTCTCAATTTGTCACTATTGATAAGTAATAGATCCGGCAGTACCGATGTAGAGTCAAAATAAGAGTCAATGCAATGGATTTAAAAGGGAAAACGCCGCCGCGGAAATCCAAAGTGGAGCGATCGACACCCAAGCTCATAGAAACTATTTTTGGGATTGTGGAGGAATTTTATTCATTGACTACCTATTTCAAAAAATACAATAAACGGAGATTATTATACTGTACTGTTGATAAGAGTGCGTCAAGTGGTTGTTGAAATATTGAGAGGCAAACTGGCGAAAGGAAACCAGAGCCCCGATTACGGTAATTTTTAACGTCTCCAATCCAGACGCGTTTCCAGTGGCGGCGTAGCATGGGTTGGCACCCGGGGCGATCACCCCTCCCCCCCCCCACAAGTCCTAAGGCACCCCCTGGTACCCCCCAGGATTTTGGGGTTACCTACCGATTCGAAGATTGATAGACAATCCCCCCCGTATCATGACATAGACCGCAGATTTGCCATGCAGATGTGCCAGTGAGTACTAATCTAAAAATCTGCGCGACTTTTGTCACCCCCTGATGCTTGGCACCCGGGGCGGACCGCCCCCACCGCCCTGAAAGGAGTTGTCCCAATTTCGGCCCAGAGGTTGTACGCCATATCAAAAATCAAGAAAAATCTACTGATGAAGGGAAAAATATAAATAACTATATCTAGCATATAATTTAGCCGCTCAAAATCAAAAACTATTCATGAATTATCATTCTCAAATGCATACACAAGATGGCGTATGGCGTCAGATAAAAAAAAAAGATGAACCATAGACTAACTAAACGTCAGTCGCTGTTAGATTTCATCTGTCACTCTCCATCAAGATATAGATGACCCACGCTGAACTGTCCCGCCAAACTCAATGACAGGGGGGCGCTACCATCGTTCAACTATATGGTTTCCAACATGGCAAAAATCTGAACCAGCGATCCGGTATTGACGGTGGCGCCCCACTGTCAATGTCATCGACAGGACAGTCCAGTATTTTGGAACTATACGACTTAATGTCAAAAGTGACAGATGTCAACAAAATGACATTCGTCCACCATGATGGTTTTTGTGGTTGAGTATTACTATTTTCTTAACAATCTTTTGTTTTAAGCGAATAAACTAAGCCATTTAAAAGAAATTGAATAATAAGAAACTGCTGTACATTTAAAAGCCCTTCTTTTTGGTAGGTGTACAGGTTGTGGGCCTAGGCTCCATACATTTTGGGACAACTCCNGCCCAGGGTCCTGATGATGGATTCGGGAGGTGGCCATAGGAACTCCTAAACGAAACGGTGGAAACTCATCGAATTTGAGTTTGTTGGATTTGTCTTTTCAAGCACTTAAGTGCTAGATGATGTTCAGGGTCCTGATGATGAAGTCAGGAGGTGGCCATAGGAACTCTTAACCGAAACGGCAGAAACTTATAGAGTTTGAGTTCGTTGGATTCGTCTTCCCGAGCACTTTGGCCGTAAATAATGACCAAGGCCCTGAGATTGAAATACAACTTAAAAGTGTAAAATAAAATTATAATAAAAAAATTAGCTCCCCTGGCCTACCTGGAAATCTTTATAGACTTCGGACAGGTCTGCCGTAGTAAGGACAATCTGTTCAGGTGTCAGGTGGGGATTCTTGGATGGATCAAACTTGGAGTGCAAGTGTCGTTTTGTTCCCCAGTCGACGAAGCACATGATGTCGTGCCCTGCGTGCCCAAACAACTGCAAGCAGGAAGATTTAATTAAGGCTACTGACAGCGCCACTCTTGTGGCGGAGTTTTGGGCTGACGCTGTGTAGGTTTGTTGTCGACACGACAAGAAGAAGAATAAAAAAAATATTTTATAGGTACAAGCAAGTTTTTATTCTGAAATGCAGTTGTACTAAAACGAAAAAAATAATGCAAAGTTCAAATAATTTCGAAAGCTTGTAGCGCAAACCGAAAAAAAGAGGAATAAATTCCATGCGCGATAATAAAATAAAACGCTTTTTTTCAAATACTTACATCTTTTTGAAAAAAACTACGTTTTATTTTAATTAAATTGATGGTTTAAAAAAATTACCCAATATTCGAAAAATCCGGATAATCCGGATTTGTACGTAACACAAATCCGGAAAACCGGATTTAAGAAAAATCCGGATTTTGCAATCTCTAATTGAAAGACAATCGCACCCCCTCCCCCCGTATCATGACATAAACCGCAGACTTGCCATGCAGATATGCGTCAGTGAGTACTAATCTGCGCGACTTGTGTCACCCCCTGATGCTTGGCACCCGGGGCGGACCGCCCCCACCGCCCCCCCCTTGCGCCGCTACTGCGCGTTTCATCGATTCTGCGATACGATTGATCAAAACATCTGACGTACGCTGTTTTGATAATTACGCTGACCAATCTCAGAATCGATGAAGCGCGTCTGGATTGGAAACGTTAAAAGTTACCGTAATCGGGGCTCTGTTATTGCAAGACAATTCGCCCGCGCACATCGCGCATGTTACATGGCTTGTCCCGGGTAAAGTTGGATTTCAAGAAATTAATCACCCACTATAACAGTTTAGTCCGAATCCCTAGTTATTTTGTCTAATTCTCAAATTGGAAAAAATACCTTCAGGAACGAAGATTTTTGAGTGACAAAGAAATGAAGGCGGCGTTAAAGGCTCATTTCGAAGGCAAAGATTGCGATTTTTTTTTCAGTGGGTTAAAAGCTCTTTTTCACAAATGTAAGAAGTCCGTTGTAGTAGAGGGAGACTAAATAGGAAAATATATTTTTTATACTTTTCTATCGGCATTTTTAATACCCTAGGCTCAAAACTTTTCAGCCGCCCCTCGTACTACGAAGATGGTTTACATGTTTTTGGTACATTAACAGGATTTATTTGAAGTCCTATAAAACGATATTTTTGTATCAACGCTATAATATTTGTGTGTTACTTAATGATATGTACATATTTTTATAAACGCAAATTTTAGTTTTCTCGGATAATTAAAAAGTCACGGTGTACTTTTGGTGTGCATACCTACTTATTTTGATCAATTCTGCCACTGCTAAGAAATAAAACAAAAATGATAGGAATTTTTAATGAATATAATTTTTTCAATATATTTTATTTCACATTAGTAGGTACATTATGGGACAAAATCACTCAAAACGCAGGTTTCAGCAATGAAAGAGTCATTCAAGAGGGAATTTTATATGTATATAGGCATAGCATCCGTGCGAAGCCGGGGCGGGTCGCTAATTCACAATCAAGCTAAATATTAATTAAAAACCAAATAAACTCGGATATATCAGTCTGAATCTTGAGTGTACATGATTTTGTTGGATTTAATTTTGTGATAAATCTGGAAGAAATCCGATGTTGGGGCCAGGGCGCCGCGTGACACCCACGACTTCAAACTCTTCGCTACGTCGTCACTTTTCAACCGCACCGTCAAATTCATTTGTTTGTTCAACCTGGATGGGTCGAAGAAGGATTTAGTTGCGGTAATAGTGATGTCTGTTAGCAGCGGAGGTTGGGGTCCGATGATTTGGTCGACGTATCGTTCGTCGTACGTTTTATTCGTGTAGTCGATCCCGTTTTGAGTGACGACTGGAGCGGGCGCGTAATCCGGCGGCGCGGACAAGTGGTCGGCGGGTCCATTCCAGGCGGGGTCACTGATGCGCAGTAAGGAATCTATGTCGTGCCCGTGGAGGTTCATGTTCTGGTATTCCTTGTAGCCTAAAGCTGGAAACATTCATAATTATAACAGGCTGGTTACCTAAAAACAAACTTAGTAAATATTTATATTGGACACATATTTTTTTATTTGTCAATCAAACAAGAAATTACGAAGTTATGATACGTCGAAGTTCCGCGTGACGTCACAAAGTACTACACTTAAGCGCTCCTTGATGTCACGGGCTACACACAGCCAATAGGGGCGGAGCAGTAAAGAAAAATGTTGCAAAAACTGGAAATATTATTCAAACTATTTTCACGCGTACGAAGTCGCGGGGACAGCTAAAGTCCGAGCGCCGAGCAGATAGAATTTCGTCCAATGACCGCAAGCTACCCATCCCTATCGCTCGCGCGTAATTATATTGCTGTCTCGACTGTGCGACGGGCGGCCGCAGTAAGTGTATGAGCGCAACAGCAATATAATTACGCGCGAGCGATACGGATGGGTAGCTTGGGGTCATTGGACGAAATTCTATCTGCTCGGCGACCGGACTTTAGTAATATTTATTTAAAATCTTTATTGCACACATAAAAACAGTGGTACAACAGGCGAGGTTAATGCCATGTGGCACTCTCTTCCAGCTAATCAGAAAATTAGACAAAACAGAGAATTTAAGTAGTATAGAAATATTAATATTAGTGTAGTTGTAGACATACCTTGCACTGCGGCCTTGAGGAGCGTGGTGCCTGACAGACTACTGGTCAACAGCGCGTCCTGGCCTGGGGGCACCGCAAGGTACAGTACGGAGCCTTCCCTCGTGGCAGACACCAGACGCACGCTCACGTATATCAGGTCTCCCATCATTGCTGTCTGCACCTATGACAGTAATAATTTTTTATTTATTTTTTTATTTTTATCCACAACGAGGAAGCTCTTGGCCTGTATCTCACCTGTTGGTAAGTGATGGTCAGGCCGAAGGTGGAAGCGAGCTTCACCCGGAATCCTCAACCACGGAGGAACTGGCTATCTTACCTCTAAGTGACGGAACACAACAATGCTGTTAACATTGTTGTTATGGCGACAGACTTAGGTAAGATTGTGGTAGCTAGCCAGGCCTACCAGCAACCAAACCGAACAGAGAAATCTGCCCCCACTGGGAATCGAACCCGGGACCTTTGCGTCTGAAGCAGGTGGTCTTACCACTAGACCACAGAGGCGGTTAATAAATAAATATCTTTGGACAATTTCATACAGCGCCATCTAGCCCCAAAGTATTGTGTTAAGGGTGCTAGCTTAACGGATATCTACTTTCATACTTTTTGTATACTTTTAATAATAGTCAGAATTAATATAACATGTTTTCATTTTATTTTTTTGGAACACGAAGAAGCGGAGAAGAGGTGGGAAGCGGAGAGCGGAGAAGACGGGAAGCGGAGAGCGGAGAAGACGGAAAGCTGAGAAGAGATGGTAAGCGGAGGATAAGAGATGGAAAGTAGAGAAGAAATGGTGGGAATCGGAGTGCGGAGAAGATGGGAAGCGGAGAAGAAAAGGTGGGTAGCGGAGAATAAGAGATGGGAAGCGGAAATCGGAGAAGATGGGAAGCGGATAAGCGGAGAGGGGAAGCGGCGAAGCGGAGAGGGGAAGCGGTACCGGTAGCAGACGCAGCGCGTGCCACGTGCGCGTCTGTGTGGCCACTATCACCGAGGATGAGGAGATGGGAAACGGATTAGCGGAGGGGAAGCGGAGATAAGAGATTGGAAACGGAGAGAATATGGGAAACGGATAAGAAGGGATTTCATCCCCGGGGTGAGGGGAAGCGGAGGGATGGGCAGCGGAGAAGAATAAAGCGGATTAGCGGAGGGGAAGCGGAGAAGTGGGAAGCGGAGAAGCGGAGAGAGGAAGCGGATTAGCGGAGAGGGGAAGCGGAGAAGCGGAGAGTACCTCAGCGCGCATGTTCCTCGCACGGCCCTCGCTCAGGGCGCTCCGCAGGCGGCCGGGCAGCCGCCGCGCCAGCACCGCCGCCGGCTCCAAGCCGTCCCTGTGCAGCAGGCGCAGCGCGTGCCACGTGCGCGTCTGTGTGGCCACCACTGAAAACACAGTCAAAAAAATCCATGAAGGTTTTAGTTCTTGTCACCGCCTCTGTGGTCTAGTGGTAAGACCACCTGCTTCAGACGCAGAGATCCCGGGTTCGATTCCCAGTGGGGGCAGATTTTTCTGTTCGGTTTGGTTGGTGGTAGACTGGTAGGGCTTGTTCTAAGTCCGCCTGGCTAGCTACCACCATCTTACCTAAGTCTGTCGCCATAACAACAATGTTAACAGCATTGTTGTGTTCCGGCAGTTAGAGGTAAGATAGCCAGTTCCTCCGTGGTTGAGGATTCCGGGTGAAGCTCGTTATAGTTACGGTCAAAGTTAGGTGGTGCAACTCAGCTTAAGCCCCCAGTATTACTGGCTATAGTACGGCCAACTAGCAGCGATACAAAAGGTCGATTCGACTGTCGAACTGACAATCTATTCTGTCTCTTCCCATCTTGTGTATTTGTCGTAATGTCTCGTTCTCCCGCCAAAATATGTCAAAGTCAAACCCCTGCTATTCCAAATGACCGCTGGCCGTACTTTAGTTACTGACAGACTGTGTGTGTCTAGTTTAAATCATTTAGACCCAATTCGACTAATCTTTTATCCGAGAATAACTCCTGGTATAGATGACCCACGCTGAACTGTCCCACCAAACTCAATGACAAGAGGGTGCTACCATCGTTCAACTATATGGTTTCCAACATGGCAAAAATCGGAACCAGCGATCCGGTATTGACGGTGGCGCCTCGCTGTCAATGTCATGGAATAGGACAGTTCAGTATTTTGGAACTATATTGATTGATAGATTCAGGTATGGGACATATGTGAAAATTAACTATTTATTTGGAGATAAATATTTACTCTTGTATGCCCATGCGGCGGGACACAGCTGATCTATTTTAAAAACTTTATGACCTGACTTATGTACCTGTGATTTCACAATAACCACAGTTTGAATTTGGTCGAATCCACCCTTAAAAGTTAAAGTAAGACTTACACTTTAACTGCAGCGTAGCTATGATGTCCTCAACGTCATCAGCAGGAAGCGACTTCGCGACGTGTCTGCAAATGATTCTGGCAACACTCGCTGACGTCATAGGCAGCCGGGCGTTCCTGACTGCTCGAGACACTTCACTCCACCGCACCTATAAAAATGCCAGGTCATTTTAGTTTGTAAAATCCAATAAAAAAATATTTTAAATATTTAAAACTCATTTATTTCTGCAAATAGGCTTTAAAAAAGCACTTTTACATTTTATTTATTTAATTTGACCATTATGAATAATACCGGTGTGGTTCTAGCAAAGTAGAATAGCACTGGATGGTGGGAGTCCAATCTTCCTAAGTATATTGTAATCAACTAAGGAACAAATATGCGAACATCAGGCATCCCCAACCCGTCTGGCCTGCATGGGGAGTAAAATTTTTTTTTTTTAAAACAGAATGATTATATGATTTTTTATCATAAATTTTTCTAGTAAATGCATATTTTTTACTATAATCATTTCAGCCATAGGACGTCCACTGCTGAACATAGGCCTCCTCCAATGATTTCCACAATGTAATTACTTTTTACTATAAAATGTTTTAAATTTACATTTGTATGAAATGTAGATGTCATGCTGCATTACTTAGGGCAACAATTTATAGTTTTTTTTTTTATTTATTTCGGAATATAACAAACAACTCAACAATACATATTTCTTTTAAGATAGTTCAATAAATATAAAGACTAAGTAATTGGACAGTCAACAAAGTTGTTACTAACATGATTATGGACCCTGGTCTGACAATGTTTTTTTTTCAATTCAATTCAATTCAATTCAATATAGCATTCCTATTCTATGTTTACTGCACAATAGTGATAATAATGACTTACCCCAAACTCTGGCAAAGCATAGACACAGCATACTTTGAATGGCATTTTTGTCATGATCGCTTGCAGCTCACCGATCTCTGAAGCAGAAAACACATCCTTAAATATAACCACAAGTTTTTATGTATGTTTGTTACTCTTTCACACAAACTATTCCACAGATTTGATTAATACAAACTGAATTTCACACTGACAAATGCTTACTATTAAATTATGAAAGAAAAAAATACTAGCTTATATTTTTCAACAAACAGATTTATGACACTGAATTCGTCTTTTATGCACAATTAATGTTACTTAGTAAGAGAATATACATAAACAATAATTAAATTAAGATAGAGGGCAACTTTGGCTCAACAAAAAAGTATTGAAATGGAGCCTTAGAGATCTTGCAACCAACTAAAAATATTGAAGTGTTCATCATTCAATTTTCAATAAATAAAAGGTAAAACTATGTAGGAATAAGTTGTAGATTTTAAATATACTCACTGGACTTTGAAGCAGCCTGCATTTTCACTAGTAAGTATTACAATATCAAAATAATAAACTACAAACTCTTGTAAACTTTGAAGTTCATTTACAGCAGGAAAAAGTATAAAACTGACATTAATTTTACTCCGGAGCGAACTTTTACAAACAACGTATCATTCTTTAGTGTAAAGAATAATTATATTGCATAGGAATTCAAGAAAATACAGAATTAAAATTCCATCCAACACAAAAACAAACACAACGTCCGTTAGATTTTTTTTTTAAATTCTGACGTTGACATAACCAACCTGACTTATTTTTTCTTTTATCGTTCAAAAATTGAGTCCCTAAATATGAAAAATATTTTCAAATAGGTAAACTAAATAATAGAATTGAATGCTTTTAAGTTAAGATTTTAAATAAAAATCACTATGTACTTTATTCATTTACACGCTGCGCTGCTTGTTGCTGCTCCTTTGAAAGCCGTGTCATATGGTCATGGTCAGGACCACTTACCACACAAGAAAGTTGACCACATAGATAGACAGACACCGACCGCTCGGCTGCATTTGACCACTTTGACTTGGATTTGAGCTTTTGCAGGGATTCTAACCCTGTGGCGTCCATGCCATGGCTGTTGGCTGGCTGAAATTCGCACCATTGAAGCCATTAGACAGAATAATAGTCGGAAACCAAAACCTATACCTACCGGCTACAGTGAGGTATTTCATTTGGGAACATTATTACCCCTTTGGTAAGCATCCTAGCGAGTAGCGAACAAGACGAATTCTGTTCATCATCATTTCAGCCACAGGCCGTCCACTGCCTAAGATTTCTACATCGCCCGGCCGGTTCGTAGCGGCCTGCAATATGCCAGCGTCTTCTTACTACTTCCTTTCCTATTATGTTAATTTGTGCTGCTACTATTATGAGGTCGTCGGTTCGCCTCGTGGGTGGATGTTCCACGCTGCTTTTTTCGGTACGTGGCCTCCACCCTCCACTCCAGAACCTTGTTGTCCTATCCTATGTGCCCTGCCCATTGCCACTTCAGCTTACTAATCCGTCGGTCTATGTCAGCGACTTTAATTCGTTTACGGATCTTCACATTGCTGATTCTATCGCGTAAAGAAACCCAAGCATAGGCCTTTCTTAACGAGATCGAATCGAAAATGTGCAACTTAGAACTTCTTTTAAGAGGCCTTTAAATCGTGGAAGTCTATGTTTCGGACTTCGGAGTCTCTGATGCCCGTTTTCACCCTCAATCCCTAATTTTTAAGTGACCCATATGAAAATAAAATGCCTGTTATGATACCATAGGGGTCACTTAAAATAGGGATTGATGGTGAAAACAGGCATGAGACTGACAAAACTCACACACTGATAAAACTGTTGAGTTTTGTAAATAAAAGTGTTTTTAATATCAATGTATTTTAATGTTCATAATTTACATTCGTGGCATATTTTACACATCTCCTGCCTACTACAAAATTCATCAAACAGTGCTGATGATTCCTAATTAAAATAAACTAAATTAAAAAAAATAAAGTAAACAAAAAACTAACATGCTAAGAGCGTCTTTCGAGAAGATTCTGAGCCCCGATTACGGTAACTTTTATAACGTCTACAATCCAGACGCGTTTCTGATTCTACGATACGATTGGTCAAAACAGCTGACGTACGCTGTTGACGACCAATCGTATCGCAGAATCGAGAAGCGTGTCTGGATTGTTGACGTTAAAAATTACCGTAATCGGGGCTCTGGGGTTGATTCCCAGCTCAGGCAACACAGTGACAGATCATTGTGTATTTGTTCCCAATATAGTCCAGAGCCCCGATTACGGTAATTTTTAACGTCTTTTTGGTTAGTTACGATACGATTGGTCAAAACAATTTTGACCAATCGTATCGCAGAATCGTTGAAGCGCGTCTGGATTGGAGACGTTAAAAATTACCGTAATCGGGGCTCAGCTCAGGCAACACAGTGACAGATCACGTTGTGTATTTGTTCCCAATATAGTCAGGATGCGGTCTTCCGCATAAAAGATGGACAGATGATATCCGGCAACAAGCTGGATTAAACTGGATGCAAGTGGACAGGGACAGAAGTCGGTGGAAGGCTGAAGAGGAGGCCTATTTTCGAAGACAGACTGATTTATATAGATAGATAGGTGGATGCAAGCTTAAATTAACCAGTTAGGCTAAACAAATTAAAGTTACTTTACATAGAGTTATTTACATATTAATCCATGTACAACGGATGAACAGGATGCGTTGGGGTAGTCGGTCATATTAATTCAACAGTGACTTTTTGAAGCGATGCAGTTGCGATTCTGTCGCACGTTCGCATCGATACAGTCGCAATGCGCATAATCGCATAATCGCGCTTCTGTCACGCGATTCAGTAACCCTCCCCGATGTCGTCCGTCACGATCGCGCGTTTGGATCGATACAGTCGCGCGTTTGCATCGATACAGTCGCGCGTTAGTAGCGCGTTGGCATCGCTTCTGTAGTGCGTTGCAAATGCGACTAACGCGCGTTAGTAGTTCGGAAACGCGCGACGTCATCACTACAAAAAGTCGCCGTGGGCGAGGGCCTTTATGTAGTTTATTTATACTTTAATGCCAAAACTTTAACATTAGGCGAACTTAATGCCATAAGGCATTCTCATCCAGTTCACCTTTGGGTTATTGATCATGTCATTTAAAAAAAAAGTAAATGGAAAATTAACACTTCAAATGTCAATGGCAAGGCATTTCAAATTTTCAAAACAAGTATATTGCAGTCATTTTCTTGCTCTCTCACTTCATACTCGAATTCAACCTTTATACTGGGCATGTGTTCAGAAGAGCTTTCGTCTTCACTTTTAATTTTTGGTGACAAGCTCGGCTTGAACTGGCCTATCTTAGTTTTGACAATATTCTTCTTCTTTCTAACTATATTTGGTTTATTCACAGTCTTCTTTTGGGGTGGTTCCTCAACTTCCTTTTCTTGTTTTATGAATTTTTTGAAATCGTTCGCCTTTTTATTGAGAACTTCGGCCTCTTTAAGGTTTTTGTCGACGAAATCTTTGTACGAATCGTTGAACGAAGATAACGAAGAACAAGGCGATGTCTTTGTAACCAACTTCGTTTTAGTTTCGACAGTTGGTTGCGAAGTTTGTTTTCTTTTCGTTTTTTTTTTAACTTCAACATTTTCCAATGAGTCTTCATCCAAATTTAGGTCTAGTTTGATTTTTTTTGACTCAACCTGTACATTGTCAGTGCTAATTTTCCTTTTAACGTCTAACGTTTCAAGCGTTTCAGTTATCTGTGCATCTGTCATGCTCTTCTTGGTGGTTTTCGTTGGTTCTTCCGTAGAAAAAGACCCGATCATATCCCGGGCTTTATTGAACAGAACTTCCAGCTTTTGTTTGTCAACTTTCTTTGCTTCGTCCAATATAAACTCCATGAGTGTTTTGAAATCAGCGTACAAGTTCTTTAATTCAAACGGCTCTGTGAGCGGTGCTGGTTCTTTAAGCAATTGTTTGCTTAAATACTTCTTGAATTTATCTGGCATTGTGTACTCGCATTCGTGACCGAAGTGAGTTTTGTAGAAGTGCACTTGGATGCTCTTTGTGAAATCTGTGGTGCACATACTGGATGGACAGAAGTGAATGATTTGATCATCTTCACTGTCTGACGTCTTGCACGTGCAGTGGTAGACCTGTTTTATATTGCTCGATTTGCCTAGGAGCAAGTACTTGACTTTTGTCTGCGATTCAACGTCTTCTTTCCATGCATTGAATTCTGTAAAAGAAAAATTCTTTTGTAGTATGCTTTATTTAACAACTTAAGTAAAGTACTTAGCCTATCCGCAGATTAGACTTTTTATTGGCCGATAGTTTTGTCGGGCTGTTAATCAGTATGAGCATGTATGAAAGTGCGCACATTACACCGATTTGGTATCGGTCGATTCTTCATACAAATTAGAATCGGGCCCAACTATCTGCCAACCAAAAGTCGGTGGTCTACGCCTAGACTTAATAAACTGTAGACCTGGCTACCTATTCATATGACGTCATTGCGTTATATTATAAAAATTGTGATATTAGTTGCGATTAATTCATGCAAAAACGACTTATCTTTTCATGACTGTAATCATATGAATATACTGAACAATATATTTTTATTTTATTTTTATTTTTCTTTATTCAGAAAACCACAGCTCTTTATAATAATAATACAAACATAATAATAATATAGGCCATATTTTTCCATGTGTGTGTGACAATCTGAATTTTACGCAGACCTGTGGTGTACGTCAGAATGGACGGTCACTACCCATATTTTACATCGAAACAATTATTGAAAGTTGCTAACGAGTTGCTGCTAATCGTTAGATAGTTGCTAACCTCGATTTAAAGAAAATAATCTACTTTCTTAGGTGACGCGCCATACTAGCATCAGAATGGCTGGGTTAAAAGAGTTTGTTTTGGCCAAGATCTACCAATACCAACTCACCGTTCCTTGAGGGAAAGAAGAGAGTCTCCACATCATCGCAATGCAGACCCGATACGTGCATATCAAACAGCATCAAGCTGCCGAACTGCTGTTTACATCCCGTACAGATGTAGTTGGCCAACACATTCACACGTGGTGAGACTTCTGCGCAAACTTCATGGGGATCGTTCATCTGTATGTTGGCGTTACATTTCATACACACTTCTATGCGGATCGGCTTGATCATTTCTATCGAGTTGGGAGCCCTGAAATTGTGAAATTAAACTTTAGTTAGACAATGACTTGATCATTTTCTAAAATTCTAAAAAAGTCATGTAGACACACCATTTAATTTTATTACTAAAAGACAAGTTTAAGTTCTCCGATTTGTTAAACTGCCTATTGCCATATAAAATCAATTGAAAAACATTTATAAAATAATACACAGCTGTTTGAATTTGTTCACTGGCAGGTCTTAAATGAGCAGCTTATATCTAAAACTTACACTTTTCTCCCTTTACTGTTGACACAATGATACTTCTGAATGTGTCTGAATGCGGAAAAGTATACAGCAAACCGTTCCTTGCATTGCGGGCATTCGTACTGAATCTTACGCACATGGGACACCTTGGCAAGGTCCACCACATCGCTTAGCTTCGAACTTCCCTTCCCACTGTCTAAAGTCTTCACAGATTTCCCCAAAAGCGAGGTCAGTTGCTGTTTATTACTAGCTCTAGACCTTAAATTATGAGTTCTGTTAACATGGACCTTCATCGCTCTAAAGTTCGCGAATTTCTTTTCACAACTGTCGCATTGATATGAACGTTTAACTTTGAATTTCACTGAATCCTTTGCGCCCATAATTTTGGGTAATTTGTAGTTTTACGCGCAGAAATTCCGGCGAATTTTATGACAGAAAGATGAACGCAGGCAGCATCCATCAGTCAACGAATTTTGACACCTTTTTTTTTTTGCTATAGAGAGGGTGGTGTGTTCCATTAACTTTATCGGTGTTCGCAGTACTTTAACGGAACACACCCAGTTTTTTTCTACAGTGCTGCCATCTACAATTCCTGAACAGTATCAATGGCGGACAAAATGATTTATCAATAATTGTTTTTAAATATGTGAAAGCTTAAGAGATTCACGATCTAGAAACTGCTTTTAGTTGGTTTTGATATTTTTTACTGATTATTTAGACCAAATAGTAATTTTGATAATTTTTACTGATAGACAAAAATAATTTCTAGTTCTAGCTCGAAAATCTAGATGGCGTTGTTAGTAACCATCATTTTATAACACTGTGGTTGGTTGACTGACAGTTCAGTCAGCAGCTTCAGCTTCAGTCGGTTTCGTTTTGTTTGTTGTTTGTTTATTTATTTATAGGTTATAAATTGGTAATTGCGATTTAAGATGAAAAATGACCGAGCTTGCCACAATTGTTACATTACAATGCAAGCAGCAAGTAGTGCGAGCAGTGCGGTTCAACGTAGACGGCACTTATTGCCTCACTTGCGGTGCAGATAAGAAAATAAAACTATGGAATCCGCAGCGACAACTTCTGCTGAAAACTTACGGAGGTCACGCGAATGAGGTGTTGGACGCTGCTGGATCTTGTGACAGTAGCCAGATTGTGTCGTGTAGTGTAGATAAATCTGTAATTCTTTGGGACGTCACCACAGGGCAACCGGTGAGGCGATACCGAGGTCATGCCAGCTCTGTAACCTGTGTTACTTATAACGAAGAGTCCAGCATGGCTATATCTGGGTCTGTTGATAATACCGTTGCTTTCTGGGACGTGATCAGCAGACGGCAAGAGCCTGTGCAGGTTTTGAAAGACGCAAAGGACACTATAACTTCAATAAAAGTTACAGACCATGAAATATTGACTTGCTCAGTGGATTGTCACGTCCGGTTGTACGATATACGCGTTGGTAAGATGATATCTGATTATATAGGACATATTGTAACGTACGGCAGCATGACACATGATGGGCAGTGCTACGTACTCAGTTGTGCAGACGGCAGTATAAAACTGTTTGATAAAGACTCTGGGGAGTTGCTAAACACATTTACAGGTCATGAGTGTAAGGATTACATGTTAGAGAACGCTGTGAGTGAAAAAGACACACATATTATATCGGGGTCCGCTACAGGAGAGGTGTTTTTCTGGGATCTAATAAGCAGTAACTGTACGAATAAATTAGTGCATACTAGAAACAAACCGGTGGTCTCATTGAGCCATCACCCCACAGATAATTATTTGTTGACAGCTAGCGAAGACGAGATCAAGTTATGGGGAGTGAAAACTGAAGAAGAATAACAATTATATTAATAAAATAATGATTTATATTTCTAGTTTTTATTCCTTTCCTTTTTATTTCCTAGTGAGACTGGCTTTATTTGCTTAAAACTGTAACAGAAGAGAGAATAGGAACTCAAGTAGGTAGGTATTATTGTTTTTAAAATTACTTTTTAAATGGGCAAACTTTTGCCAAATAAAAATAATAATTATTATTTTGGTTAATATTTTTTAAGGAAAAATTTAATTATGCATGCAACCAGCAACGTTTGGTTTTGAAGCGCCATCTTGTTTTCTGAACTCACACTTAACATTTTCAAATGCCATCTAGTTTTCTAAATACACACAAAATTTTTAGAAACGCCATCTATTTTTCTGAACTTATACTCAACATTTTCAAATGATATCTAATTTCCAGCCCCCCTAGACAAAACGCACTTTTTGATCGAATCGAAAATCGAATCCGTCAAAACTCCATTTGTATGGAGTTTTCGACCACTTTTCGACTGGTTTGCGATTATAATTTGCACTTTGTCTCTAGACCCACTGGACTCGTACTCAAATATTGGAATCGCTATCCTATATAGTTTTCTGTTTGACTAGACAAGTGGCACATTGAAGCCATTAGACAGAATAATACTAATAAAAGAAAAAAAAGGTTTTCGACCATCTTTCGACAGAATAACTCTCATTTTGCAACTATTCTAGGCATAGCTGGGCACCGTTAATCAAATAGTTAACTTCGTTAATCGTTAAACCGTTAATAAAAAAATTAACTTCGTTAAACGTTAAAACGTTACATTTCGCAAGATTTAACGCAAGTTAACGTTAATCGTTAATCCGTTAACACATAATAATAAAACGAAAAAAATAATTGTATGCAAGGTTCAAATAATTTCGAAAGCTTGTACCTATCGCGCATGGAATTTATTCCTCTTTTATGTTTGCGCTAGAAGCTTTCGAAATTATTTGAACCTAGCATGTACAATTATTTTTTTCGTTTTAGTACAACTGCATTTCAGAATAAGTGTTTTAAAAAAAGTTTTTTAATTATTATTATTTTATTTTACACTTTTTAGTAGTATCTCAATCTCAGAGCCTTCGTTCAATTACAATACAATTTGGCACCAAAGTGCTCGAAAAGACAAATCCAGCAAATCCAAACACGATAAGTTTCGACCGTTTCGTTTAGGAATTCCTATGGCCACCTCCCGACTCCATCATCAGGACCCTGGACATCATCTAGTACTAAAGTGCTCGAAAAGACAAATCCAACGAACCCAAATTCGATGCGATGCCGCCGTTTCATTTAGGCCTCAGCCTCGAACTTAGCGGGCAGCGGCGCGGGAGCGGCGGCGGGGCGGGAGCGGCAGGATCTTATGCGTAAAATCAAATAGACCGGTTCTTGAAAACAGCGGCGCGGCAGCGGCGCCGGAGCGGGCAACGAGCGGGCAGCGGCGAGGGAGCGGGCAACGAGCGGGCAGCGCACTCCTTCTTTTGCCCACAGTAAATCGAGCGTAAGGAATAAATTTGAATCGAAATAAAATTGTCGCCGTTGTTCAGACATTTCGTTCGCGAATAAAAACAAATATCTCGACAACACAACCCCGAACACAACACTTCGCCGCTAAAGCGCCGCGCGAGCTGCCCGCTGGTTTCGAGAACGGGTCTGCGTTGCCCGCCCCGCTCCCGCGCCGCCGCCGCCGCCGCCCCGCTGCCCGCTAAGTTCAAGGCTGAGGCCTTAGGAGTTCCTATGGCCACCTCATGACTCCATCATCAGACCAGCTCAATGGTACCATAACATTGCATTGTCATCGTTCTTACATAAGTATACCAAACAGCTCAATCGGTTGAGGAAAACTGGTCTTAAATTCAGTTGCAAGAGTTGTCCCACACAGTGTCATAGTTACAAAAACTGTTGTTTTGGGTTCTGGTAGTTCTGGAAGCCCGAACTTACTTGTCAGAACGCGTTTTTCTAGCGTTTTCAGCGTGCCTGCTGTATCTTTTTGGTAAATAATAGGTACTGGATTAACGATTAACGGACTTAGGATAATGTAACGGAAGTTAACGAGTCCGTTAACAATTTTTAAAGTTAACTTAAAAGTTAATCCGTTAATAGAAATGTTAACTTCGTTAATTAACGATTAACGGATTAACGAGTTAATGCCCAGCTATGATTCTAGGTGAACTGAACTTGTTTTCAACATGTTCCACTTAAGCCAAACAGAATACGCAAGACCTTAATCACGTCAGCGCGACAAGCACAGATACAAATCTTTGCTTGTGTTGATCGTCTTATCAACTTTTGCTACGCGTGGCTCATGCAGATCTATATATATAAAAATGAAACCCGTTTCGCGTTGTCACGGCATCACGTGTGAACGGCTGAACCGATTTCGATAATTCCTTTTTTTAAATGTTTGTGGAAGTCCAAGGATGGTTCTTACGGAAAAAAATATTAAGAAAATCTCTACGCTAAGGCGGTACGAAGTTCGCCGGGTCAGCTAGTTCTGAATAATTATGTACTCAACATCGTCGCCTCAGATTGAAAACATCGGGAATGCATTTTTTCTCATATTTAATATGCATTTTTCAGTGCAAAAATTTTAATACAGTTTACACCAGCCTACAGTTCAATTCAATAGATGGCGTTACTTGTGCTTAGAGTTACAAAACAAATGCATGTTTTTTTTCAATTTTTTCCCTCTTGCTCAAATGTCAAATCATCAGTGTCAAAAAATAATTTCGTCAACGTCGTTTCTCTACCAAATTTTAATGTTTTCACATATTTATCGGTAACCGTAGCTAATTTTAACTAAACTAATACACTTCACTGCCTTCTTTGGTGCTAAAACTATACTATAACATCTAAAAGTTGTGATTTGAGAGACGAAGAAGTACTTTTTGAGTACACCATATTTTGTTATGGTGCGATTGTTGTGTTCGAACGGTGTTCTACAGCTTACAATGCGTTGAACGCGTAGTTGCACTCACAAAGGATTGTACGATATCTATTTTAAGCCTATACAGGTAAGATTCGTCCCGTAATTGTTGCAATGTCAACTTAATTAGACTTGAAGGTCCCCTTTATTGTGTACTCATAAATTTGCCCAAGGAATACTCGCGTACTCCGAGTTAAATTTTAGTTTAAAATCATATTTGTTGCTGTATAATATCTTTTTAGTCAATTCTACATACAATTATCCAGTTTGGTCTATAAAACAAAGATAGCATTCTTAGTACATATTTATTGATTGTCTTTCTTTTTACAGCTGACAAATTTAGTACAAAATGGAAGTGATTCAAAACCCACAGACAAGCGGAGCTAGTACTCGCATGCAGCGTAGAGACAATATGAACAACGAAGTGTCGTCCACGTCCAGTGAAGATATCACGCATAATACAGTGTCCAAGTTCAACAACTTCTATAAAACACGGTACTCTGAAACTGCATCGGACAACGAATTAGAACCACGACGAGTTCAGCAAAGAAGCCACCACAAAAGCATGGGCAATATACACGAAGCTTACCGAATGGATCGCAACTTGAATCGAGTACACAACAGTGTGAGTACAGTCGATTTAAGTCTTCACGGCGAGGGAATAAAGAAGTTTGAATCGTTACAAGTGCCTATCGTTGGCTACGAAGTAATGGAAGAGCGGGCACGGTTCACAATCTACAAATTAAAAGTAGAAGACGACAAAAGAGACCAGTCTTGGCTGGTTTTTCGTCGGTACACAGATTTCGTGCGATTATATTCACGGATAAAGGCTGAATTGCCTAATATACTGTTGCCTCTGCCTGGAAAACGTTGGTTTAGAGATAATTTTGATCCTGTCTTTCTTGAAGACCGCGTGCGAGGTTTACAAGTGTTCGTCAACGCGATACTGAATAAGCTACCCAATCACCCTGTTGTTAGGGAGTTTTTCTGCTTAGACGAGCCTCCGCAAGTGTTTAGTTATCAGCCAGAAGTGCAAGCCGTGTACGGTGCTTTGGAGGACTCAATATCAACATTGAAAATGCAACTGAAGCAAAAGGACGCTACGATTATGCATTTACAAAAGCGAGTAGCGCAGTTAGAAGCTCAATCGAAAAGTTGTTCCCAATGTAGTACAAATAATAACTCAAACGCGATGTAGAGTTTGCTGCAATCAAAAATGTGGCCTTTCAAAGTCAATACAGTACAAAATAATCGATAATTTTAAAATCATAATTTTAATACGGAAAAAATATAAACGTCTGTACTGAACATGACTCAATAATTATACAAAGTGTTCCCATTATATGGTTATTTAATTAAATGGTACATAAGAAATATGTTCAACTTTTGTGATATGAAATGTATTATATTTAACGTGTTTTCTATAAGTATTGATTAATTGATAATATAGCATTTTTGTCGTAGTTCATTATATGGCAACTAGATGCATTTTTAGAATCGTTAGGTTAGTCTATTTTTAAGCCTTGATCACACGTACCGAGTAAACGGGCGAGACAGTAAAATGTTTACTCGGTCGAGACAGTTGGGTGAGCGAGTCACATACTCGAGCGCTCGGCCGACCACTCGGTGACTCGGCGTAATGTTCATACACACCGAGTAATCGGCCGAGAGCACTGTCTCGCCTATTTGCTTGGTACGTGTGATCAAGGCTTTAGTATCAGTTGTTATAGCAGGATTGGCACAAATGGGTATAATATTATGCTGTATAAGTACCACCTACAAGGTTGAGTTATTGTTATACTAGCTTTTCGCCTGTGTGAAAATTTTTTTGTGTCATGTCCAATGATATTAAAGAACTATAGATATGTTACGTTCATAGAAATTACGATTTGAATCCGTGCCGAGCTATTCCAAATTGCACACATTGACAAATGTAACTGATAAGTGAAACAAAAGATACGAAATAGCACGCAAATGAAAGAGATAGCTATAGTTTTAACGATTCTGCACTAACTAATCTATGTCCGCAGCGCACGCATCCTTATCGCTCTAACGTCAAAACAAGATCGCTTTCTCTTTCTTAACTTGAACATGGCGCATGGCGTCTTGATTGTTTGCATAAATAATTGAAAATATAAATACTAAATAATTTTGCATAATCACATGTGGTAAGAGATCCCTTGTATTTTGTTTACTTTAGAGTCATAATTGGTACACTTTCGAAACACACACGATGGCATTTTTTATTTATTTTGGTAAGAACAGGAACTTACGGTGTGGTACACGCGATTGCGCACGACGCAGGCCACACGAAGACTAAACACAAGACGTCCCAATTGGGACGTATTTGAGTATTCACAGCGCGAGCGCTTATAACATATCTGCTTTTGTTTTTATATATTATCATTGGTCATGTCACAGAAAAACTTATAGCGCGCGTCTCTGTTTCAAAAACCGGGATAAAAACTATCCTATGTCCTTTCCCGGGACTCCAACTATCTCTATACCAAATTTCATCAAAATCGGCTCAGTGGTTTTGGTGTGAAAGTTTGACAGTCTGTTACTTTCGCGTTTTTAAAATTAGGGATTGAAGGTATAAAAGGAAAGCGAAAGATTCTGGTTGTTCATAATGTCTATTTGTGCCAACTACCCTATTTTACATTGCATTTATTCCCAGCAAAATTCACACTCCTAGATGAAGAGTGGTACAACTCAAAATAATCCAAAATTGAGTTATTCCGATTATATCGGAAAAAGAGAGAATTTTCAGTTGTACTGCTCTTTTTCTGTGTGTTTCCCATTTTTTATGTATTTGTTTTGAAGTGTTGTTATTGAAATAAAATTAATTGAATCCGACACAAGGGTGTTATAGTGTCTAGTATACGAGATATCGTAGCGTATGAATTTACATTCGTGTACAGTTGTACACTTTTGCGTCCTGCAACTTTTCTAATAAATATTGACAATTAGTCCACCTTAGAAAAGCTTTATGTAAAGGAAAGCTACTTACATAAGTAAAATGTTAAAGTAAGATTTTGAAAATCATTTAGTAGAACGTAAAAGATAAAGATTTTTGAAAAAATATTTCTTTAGAAATATGAAACTAGGACCAAGGAATTAGCGAAAATAAAACGTAACGCACTTAGTGCAAAACGTGGTTCAACGAATCTAAAAATAATGTTTATTTGTTGTACTAAGGCCTGTGTAAATAATTCTTAAGATCATACAAGATTCGAGCCAGTATTTGGTAAAATACTGAAATTCATTCAATCACAGGCAGGAAAAAGTTCGAGTCGAGTTTAGTTTTTTTATACAGATTATCATCATTCTAACTCAAATAATATCAAAATAAGATTGGTTAACTTTTCAAACCTTGTGTCAGATATTCTGAATCGTTACGGGTGTCTGACATGGCTCAAATCTGATTCTATCCAATAAAAGTTAGTTTTCTTGGAAGCTGAGCTACAAGAACTGTAGAAATTCCAATATAGTTGATGAAATATTGTCAATGGGTGCTAATATTGTCACATTATAATGTTTGTCTGTCTGTCAGTATGTGTATCGTATAATAATTTTAAGTGTGAAATGTAATGAACACATTTTATTATATGGACTAACTGATTATACTGCCTTTTGATTATTCTCCTCTACAACCTAATAGTACCTATTCAAATTCTTTACAAGTACTTATGTAGACCGTTTCCCTATCTTCTTGAGGTCGTCAGTCCATCGAGCAGTCTCCCTCATTAAGTCTTTAAACCAGCAGAAGGTCTGCACTTTACTTATCGGTGTCCATGACCCACTACCACTAACTTGCTATTGCTATAATTTTGGGTCTTATCGCACACCTAGATCAAGAGTAGCACAACTTAAAATAATCCAAAATCGAGCTATTGCGATCGGGTCTACAACCTTTTGTACCCTTTGCACCACCGGCCTGCACCACTGGTGGTGCAAAGGGTATTTTTAAATCCCTCTTGCACCACCAACAAATAGTGCTGTGCTACCATCGACTGTAAAACTAGTAGTAGACTGTAAAATACTTAATAATTTAATTGTTATAAATAAATCAAAACCTACCTAAAAGTTTTAATTTGTGTGTGTGTAAGTGCCTATAAACATTTCACTTCAGACCCACGATACCCCGGGCCTACATCCTACATACAACGAATAAAGTACCAGGGCAACATAACCATAAAGGAGCTATTTTATGATACATGTTTATTTCTCGGATCAACCAAGAAGAATTTGATATAGCTCCTTTATGATTATGTTGCCCTGGTACTTTAGGAATTATTCGTTGTATGTAGGTATGAATGGTTGTTATTAATTTTTATGTTATGTTGTCAAATCTGTCCAGTAGTTTCAGAGCCTATTCAGTACAAACAAACAATCAAATCTTTCCTCTTTAAAATATTAATATTATATGATTATAGATAATCGTTTTACAGTTAATGGTAGGGCGGCACTATTGGTGGTGCAAAAAGGATTAAAAAATACCCTTTGCACCACCAGTGGTGCAGGCCGGTGGTGCAAAGGGTACAAAAGGGGTCTACAAGATACGTGAACTATTAACTGTTCCTGTAAAAATAAGTTTTTTGAGTTATGCTACTTTTTAACTAAGTGTGCGATATTTAAATTGGCTTATTCGGTTTAGGACAGATTCTGTTTAGGACAGATTCGGTTTACGACAGATTCTCTTTATGACAGATTCGTTTTAAGACAGAAATACAATTGAGTACATAAATTCAAAAGACAGATTATTTAAAAAAAAGTTTATTTAGCTAACTAGTTTTGAACAAAAAAAAAAGTTAAAATATTAATTGCATCTTATACTTTGCACAATAGTTTGAAATATTTTTTCAAATCGGTCCAGTAGCTTCGAAGCTTATTCAATGCAAACAAATAAATCTTTCCTCTTTATAATTATTAGTGTAGATGTAGATTATAATATAATCCTACTTCCTACTAATATTATAAAGGCGAAAGTTTGAATGTCTGGATGTCATGATTGTCTGGATGTTTGCTACTCTTTCACGCAAAAACTACTGAACGGATTTTGTGACAAATGAATTTCAATAAATAAATAAGACGTCTAAAAAGCGCCATCTATCGTCATTGGTTAAAATCTACAGCAAAATCAAAATAAAAAATATTTAATTCAATTTAGACCACAGGTGGCACTTATGAACGTCAAAATATCTACACTAATATTATAAAGAGGAAAACTTTGTTTGGTTGTAATGAATAGGCTCAAAAACTACTGGACCGTTATTAAAAATTCTTTCACCATTCGAAAGCTACATTATTCACGAGTAACATAGGCTAAATATTATTTTGGAAAAAAATAGGGTCCCGTAAAATATGTAGTACACGCGCGCGAAGCCGCGGGCGGAAAGCAAGTAGTAAATAAAAAAAATAAATACGTAAATATTCATGCCGTGAAATGCCATCTATCAACATGAAACGATATGGGTAAAACATCACATCATAATACATATTTCAGTCACACGTTTTAAATTAAAATAAAAAACATTTTCAAAATATTCAGTTTGTGCTCTCGTCGTATACACGACGCTATTAATTTAATGAAATACTCGGCAACTCATAAGCAGTCATACGACTAAAATAAATACACAATAGGTACCAGAGTAACATATATAGAAAGAAGTTTTCCATAATTTTATATTACATAGTAGGGGGAATTGGTTAACTCTATTCATGAGACGTTGCGTTGGTTAAAAAAACATTTTATTCTTGACTGTACAAAATCCGTCATAAAACGAATCTGTCATAAAGAGAATCTGTCGTAAACCTAATCTGTCCTAAACAGAATCTGTCCTTAACCGAATAAAGGATTTAATAAATAAAATATTTAATTATTTTAATCGTATTTAATATAAAATATTAATTTTAACATTCTTCTTACATATCACACGTTAAGTTTTTTTATACATAGGTATAACTATTTTATAAATTGTATGTTATTTTATTAACATTTAAAGTAAAGTTCAATGAATACATGATCGGTCTATTGTTTAAAGTACAACATTATTAAATACATTTGTTTTTATTTCAACATTAATAACCATTTACTTATATAAAATACTTTTCAGGTCAGCACATCATTAATATTTTGATGAGGAAGTGAGATTTTAATATTAACAAATAGAATATGTTTTTCTACAAATAAACTGCCCCAGTTGGGAATTGAATCCCGACCTTTATCAACATAGCGAATTTCGGCAAAGAAATCAAGAAATCTGTGGCTTAATTCACGTATTTTGACAGTCAAGATCTCGCTGACGTTCAGAAGTCGTCCCATTGAAAAACAGCCCTAAATCCGAATTCACAAGGGTCATTTCGATAGAACGATTAGGTACTCGATAGGATAATTATTAGGTGTTGATGTTGCAGTAAAAACTCATAATCGGTCAAAACCTTGACTGCAAAAATCAGTCAAAAGTGGTTTTGACCGATTATGAGTTTTGATTGTAACCAGTAATGACTCAAGTTCTTTAAAATACTGTGATGCGTAAAGAACCCAATATGTGGTCATCTAAAGAAAAAAAAAGGTTTTTGAAGTCTTCATTATTTCTACACCTTTTCCACATAATATCTGTACGGCTAGCACGAAAAACTTTCGAGTTCGAATCGTTTGCATGCTCGAATCGCCATCAAAAGATTTAGTACGAAAACTCCAACAGCGCCCTTGTGAACGTGTCGTAAAGTGAACTTAGTATGAGAAATGGTTGAACGAAACTTATTTTGAGAATCAAAATTGTCACGTTATCGTAGAGGTTGAGTATCGATTTTGTCGAATACGCAAACGATTCGAAGACGAAAGTTGTTCATGCTAGAGGTACTGGGTGTTGAGGTGATCATAAAATATCTAGTTCGAAGACCAAGTCTGGCTCATTCTCCGTGGGTCATGTGGCCTGTTGAGGTTTGGTTTCCATGTATTCTATAGCAGGACGAGTAGGGAACACTTTGTGCACGCGTTTTCTGAAAAGAAACATTCCAATTATGCAATTTCGTTCTAAAGTCCGGTCGGCGAGCACACAGAATTTCGGCCAATGACCCCAAGCTAACCATCCTTATCGCTTGCGTGTAATTATATTGCTGTCGCGCTCGCACAGTCGCGACAGCAATTTAATTACTCGCGAGCGATAAGGATGGGTAGCTTGGGTTGGTAGCGGCCTGCATCCAGCGCCTTCCTATACTACCTTTATGAGGTCGTCGGTGCACTTTGTGGGTGGACGTCGCACGCTTCATTAACTGAAGAAATGAAAACAACTCACCTGTGTGTGTACAAAGAAGCTTTGTGTTTGAACGTTTGCTGGCAGACATCGCACGCGAGCGGCCTGTCGCCTGAATGTATCACCAGATGCTGGTTTAGTGCCTTTTTGTCCTGAAAAAATATAAATATTTATAGACTAATAGCTTTCGCCTGCGTGGAATTTTGTCTGTCACAGAAAAACATTATCGCGCGCGTCCCTGTTTCAAAAACCGGGATAAAAACTATCCTTTCCTGAGACTCAAACTATCTCTATGCCAAATTTCATCGAAATCGGTTCAGTGGTTTAGGCGTGAAAGAAAGAGAGAGTTACTTTTGGATTTATAATATTAGTATAGATAGATATAGCGCATAACTTGGCCATTTCTCGGTATGGGAGCGGCATGAGAGTCAGACAAAATCTCACGTGGCGGAGAGGTTGGTCTCACCAAATATCACGTATTTTTTTCCGCAAGTAAAATTGCGAAAAAATCTGATTTATTATAATTAAAAAATAGCCAAATTGTGTCACTTAATTAATAGACGCCCCCTAACTTCTGTAACGTTATACGTCACATAATTACATTAATTGATTTTTGTACGAATAAAATATAATTGAATTAACATAATAATGAATAAAAATAACTAAAACTATCAAATACATAAAACAACAAAAAACTGTAAACAAGATTTTATTCTTATCACTAAATAAATAACATAAAACTAGCTTAAAATAAAATAAATCAACTTACAGTGACCTTGCTAATGGTTCGTTTATCGGTCGCGCGGGACCCTAAGCAGCTTTCTCTTCAATCCTTTATTGGTCAAAAACATCGTATGATTTTAATGGGCGGTGCCTAAAGCCGTTTGACCTTTAAAAATCGACGGCCGGGGCACGTCTCCCCGGCTTCATTTCGACAAACCAACTTGAAAAGTACGGCCGCGTACCTGCCTATCGCCGCCGCGCCGATTCCATTTCAAATAATTCATAGTATGTAGTGCAAATGCACTAAATACAAAGTTATAAAGTACAATAAAATTAGTAGTTATTTCATAAATAAGTACGATAAAACTGTGTAGTGAATACATCCCCGAAGTGATGAACAAGTATTTCTTCTTTCGCTTTAGTTTTAAGCAGATAATGTAACTACAAGTTGCGATTAGTTAGTGCCTATCTATCCAGCTTTGTTGAAACCCTAATTATTATGTCATAAATTTCCCTTAGCAGAGATTAGATAGTAATTATTCGCTATTGGCGTAATTATTCATACAAATTGTTAATTTAAAGCATTTGGCGTACTTAATAATAAATCATAATATTGTTTACTTCATTTTGATTATGCTGTGTTTGTAAACTCCGATCTGATTGCATTCATCGCCACTTCGCCTGCTATCCTACTTACTTAGGCTCGACTTTCTTGGCTTGGTTTGACGATGATTGCAGTCTCCGGATGTTGAGACCGGAAGTGGCTTAAGCTGGAATGTTCATTCCCAGGGATCGAATTTCGGGACTAACGCGTACCTACCATCTGCTCAAGATCCAAGGCGCCTACAGCTGACAGCGACTACGTCCAGCACCTACGGCCACCATCTACCTTCGGTCGCCCTCGCCAGGGAAGTCACGGACCGCGAAAGCATACCCACAGTCGGGCATCCGAACCCCGCCCTCATATTTTTTGTAAAAAATCAATAAACTTTAATTTTATCTGTGTACGCTAGTGTTGATTATTTATTAATTTCCCACTACGCGACACTTCAATGATCCTAGCTAGCGCTTGAGGGGATAATAACTAAAGCCCGGTTTCCGAGCACGTAGAATTTCGTCCAATGACCCCAAGCTACCCATCCTTATCGCTCGCGCGTAATTATATTGCTGTCGCGACTGTGCGACGGGCGCCCGCAGTGAGACTCACAGACCGGGCTTTAGTTGGCACCACTGTCTTTGCCACTAGCGAGCGGCAGGATCTTACAGTACAGTGGCGCCAGCTGGTGTGCAAATGCAAGTCTTACTGTTTCAGCGCTCACTAGTTTTCATTTAACATCGTCACGAGTACGACAAAAAAAAAATGAAGATTTTAGTTCTTGAAAGTATCCGCTAGGGACGCTTACAATCTGTCATACATTTCATGTCATTTTTTAGGCAGTCGCAGACGATGACGTTTGGTGTAAACTCGCAATAAGCACACGGGACTATTCCCACCTCTCGTTTCCACCGCAACTCCTGTGTAGCCAGGATCTACAGCTTGACCGCCAATAACCCAACTAGTGAAGGTCGAGTTTGTCCCGGGGTAAAGTTAAATTTGGACATTGGACCCGTAACGAATAAGCACTGTACTATTTAGGGATACGCACCGTGAACCCTTTCTTGCAAACATGGCAGACGTGGTTCCGTGGTTTCTCTTTCTTCTTTCCGTGTACCCGCATCATGTGTTTTTCTACGTTCGCCCGAGACGCTAGCGGCTGTAACAATACCAATAAATAATCAAAATATAAATAAATATCTTTGGACAATTTCACACAGTGCCATCTAGCTCCAAAGTAAGCAATTAATACGCTTGTATTATGGGTACTAGCTTAACGGACATACTTTTAAATACATAACTTATTATGTAGCGATTATGAGTTTTAAGTTTTACTTTGTGATATTAAATTAAACACATTTTTTACGATTTTACGAAGGCAATCGCCGCCATTCTTTTATTTTCAATAGACCACAGAGAAACTTCAAAATATATTTTTAATCATAAAAAACGTTAAGGCATTGGAACAGCGATTACCAGCCAGATACAATAATCGATAACACCACCTCTTAATTGCTGTCCAATTATGCATTAAGGTTTTCTTACAAATATTGAGTTAAACTAATTTTATAACTAAACTAATTACTTTATTATTTATTTATTTAACTAATTTTAAACAAATCTATGACTCTAAATTAACAAACATAAACCATACTTTCAATTAGGATAATCATAAAATTGCTAAGCAATTATTTTAGTGCATATGTTATTAAACTTTTCAGAACATAAACTTTTAGTCATAATATCAGCAAGGTTATTGTTAGAGTTTACATATTGAATTGATATGATGTTTTTACTTATGATATCTTTTAAGAAATGGTATTTGATGTCACATACCCGTCACAGAAATTAAAATTCATCATTTCAATTTTCTGCCTGGCCGGGAATCGAACCCGGGATTTTTTTTTATGCATGATAAGGCAGGTGTTTGATCGCAATCGCACCTGGTGTTAAGTGGGATGCAGTCTAGGATGGTACATATCTGCCCTGTGCTTATTCACTCTCGCCTTGAAAAGGCCTGGATTATAGTGTTCAGGAAACCTCTCGGCATAGTAGTCCGTTTCGAACCACTACCACAAATTTTCAGCTGTCTATAGGTCAAGCGCTTAACTCAGCCAGTGCCTGAGGTAGAAGCTCTCAATTCTCAAGCTATCAAATTGATCTTTTTTCAGGGTTGTCAACAATTTACTTTTAAAAAAAACTCATAAAACTAATTTATTTTTGCAAGTATTTTAAAAAGCATTTTTACAATTTAAAATGGCAGCTAATTCAAATACTACGTTATTTTTGGGACATCCTATACACGGGCTAGTTTTTTTACCTTTTCACACACGGGACACTTATGGGCCGTCTTGCCCAGGTGTTGGTAGTTGAAGTGGTCCTGCATTGCTTCTTTGGTTGGATAGCCCTTGTTGCACATTGGACAGGGAAACCTGTGGACAATTATACACTCAACATCAAATAAACCGCACCTTCCGCAAGCTCTTAAAACACCCACAAGGTGGACCGACAACTTCGTAAAGGTAAAGTCCGGTCGCCGAGCAGAGGGCTTAGTGTGTTTACATCAAACGTCGTCACTAGTGAGCGCGTTAGAAAAATGTATGAAAACTTTAGTTCTTGAAAGTTTCCGCTAGGGGCGCTGTACAATCCGTCATACATTTAATGTCATTTTTTTACGCGCTCACTAGTGACGTTTGATGTAAACTCACACTCAGCCCTCAGATAGAATTTCGTACAATGACCCCAAGCTACCCATCCTTATCGCTCGCGCGTAATTATATTGCAGTCGCGATCACACACTCACTGCGACCGCCCGTCACACAGTGCTTGGGGTCATTGTACGAAATTCTATCTGCTCGGCGACCAGACTTTAGTAGGAAGACCGCTACCAACCGGGCGATGTGGAAATCATTGGGGGAGGCCTTTGTCCCGCAGTGGACGTCATTTAATTTTGGCTAAATTAACAACTTGACCTTCACTGGTTGGGTTATCGGCGGTCAAGCTGTAGATCCTGGCTACACAGGAGTTGCAGCGGTGGGGACGAGAGGTGGGAATAGGCCCGTTTAAATTAAAGAAGTCACTTGAACACATCTTCGAGATGCGAGGACACTTTATTGCTGTCGGAACACTCGCATCTGTTCCTGTTAGGGCCCTTTCCCATGGCAATTAGTTTTGCGGGATACAGGACGCCTAGATGGGTCTATCACAGGACTGTTGAGGAAATCCTTGGGGGAGGTCTTTGTCCAGCAGTGGGCGTCATTTTTTTAATACATAACAAGCCCTGTAAGTGCCAATTCACTCTCGCCTTGAAAAGAACCGGATGTTTGGGAAAGACGGCAGCCGGCAGCGAATTCCAGTCCCTAGCTGTTAGCATTATAAAAGTTATCGAAACGCTTTGGCTGAAACGAACTTACTTGAACACATCTTCGGACGCGTGCGCTCGGCTGTACTTCAAATGCGCTTGGTACGTAGCGAGATGAGAGAACACTTTATTGCAGTCGGAACACTCTGTTCTTGTTAAGGCGCCTGGATGGGTCTATCGCAGGACTGTTGTGGAAATCATTAGGGGAGGTCTTTGTCCAGCAGTGGGTGTCATTTGGCTGAATTAACGAACTTACTTGAACACATCTTCGGACGCGTGCGCGCGGCTGTATTTCAGATGCGCTTGGTACGTAGCGAGATGAGAGAACACTTTATTGCAGTCGGAACACTCTGTTCTTGTTAAGGCGCCTGGATGGGTCTATCGCAGGACTGTTGTGGAAATCCTTAGGGGAGGTCTTTGTCCAGCAGTGGGCGTTATTTGGCTGAATTAACGAACTTACTTGAACACATCTTCGGACGCGTGCGCGCGGCTGTATTTTAGATGCGCTTGGTACGTAGCGAGATGAGAGAACACTTTATTGCAGTCGGAACACTCGTATCTATTCTTATTTTCGTGCCTCTGGACGTGGTACTTGAGTTGGATGACCCGCACCATTTTGTGACAGATGTGGCACTCCTTGCGAGGTAGCGGGCCTTCGTGGAGTCTGAAAATGATGATATTAATTGTTACAACTCACAAGATGGACCGACGATTTCATAAAGGTAAAGTCCGGTCGCCGAGCAGATAGAATTTCGTCCAATGACCCCAAGCTACCCATCCTTATCGCTAGTGCGTAATTATGTTGCTGTCGCGCTCGCACACTCACTGCGGGCGCGCGTCGCACAGTCGCGACAGCAATATAATTACGCGCGAGTGATAGAGATGGGTAGCTTGGGGTCATTGGACGAATTTCTATCTGCTCGGCGACCGGACTTTATAAACAATTTTTTAAATACACAAACTTACTTTAGATGCGTAGTGAGTGTGGTTCGGTTGACAAATCTCTTCTTACAATGGTCGCACTGCAGCCCCTCTCTATGGAAACGTGCCACGTGGTTTTTCCTTGCCCTAGAATTCCTGTGAATTAATAAAATAAAATTTCTTTATCTGTGTAAATTAATAAAACAACCAAATTGAGAACTTCGTCCTTTTTTTGAAGTCGGTTAATTTTAGTAGGTACTATGAAATCGTCAAATTTGGCTTTTGATGAGTCTTAATGTATCATTTTTTCAATCTATAGTTAGGTCGGCTTCTAATTTGTATGAAGAATCGGTCGATACCAAATCGGTGTAGATAATGTGCGCACTTGTAGCCTAGGCGCAGACCACAGACTTTTAGTTGGCTGATAGTTGGGCCCGATTCTAATTTGTATGAAGAATCGGCAGATACCAAATCGATATAATTTCACACACTTTCATACATCTCCATACTGATCAACAGCCCGACCCAACTACCGGGCAACTAGAAGTCAATGGTCTGCGCCTGGGCTAAGAAATCAAACTAATATTATAAATGCGAAAGTTTGGATGTCAGTTTGTTACTCTTTCACGCAAAAACTACTGAACGGATTTTAATAAAAGTTTACAGTATTATTGTTTATAACCCAGATTAACTTATAGGCTATAATTTATGACGATCTGTGACAAACTAAATTTCACGTGGGTGAAGCCGCGGGCAAAAGCTAGTATATTATTTGGGGTATATGTATACGTACTTGAAAAACATGTCGCACTCAAGGCACTGGTAGCCTTCTATAGTAGTTTTGGAGAGTAGTTTTCTGAGGTCTCCCGCTTTCGGCGGCGGTTTGCTTTCTTCTGTTTTAGTTTTTTTGTCCTGGAGACAAAATACATAATAAGTAATAGGTCTAGCTCTTAACGCATTCAGTGCCTGAAGTATGGGAGGGTTTTAGAAGACGCTATGCAATGTGCTACGTGCTCCTGTAGTGCAAGTTTAATGACCTATTGTTAATGATGAAATTCTTTGAAATCACCATGATTTCACTCGGCTGCGTCGGTCGGATTCGAAAAATAAATGTCACCGCGATGTAAGAGACACACAACGCCATCTATTGACATCCTTAGGAACTATCAAACCGCTGAACTAACACTTCAAGTGGCAAAATTCAGAATTAATAACCCAGCACAGATAGTAGCGCTCTCCTGTCATAATTACAAGTCAAATAGGTAGTTTTGACTTAGTTCCGTTAAAGCGATGAAGGATGGTGTTGATAAGTGTGCAATGACCTTGAATGACCTAATATCAAAGTTTACTCAACTCACCTTAGTTTTCTCTTTATCTCGGTTTTCTACATGCTAGTCTAGGCAAAAAACTTTGACACCGCGATGCAGGTTTGCAGGCGCGGTGACACATCCCATAGTAATGTGTAAGTCAGCGCCATCTGTTGGTGAAGACTACCAAAAGTCTGTAGTGGCGCGTCGATAGATGTCGCCACAACATAATAATAGTTTTCCCAACTCACCTTAGTTTTAGTGATGCCAATGACGCCTCTGAGCGTTTTCCCCGCATGCATATTGGAGTGTAGCGTCATCTGTTTGACGCTATGACAAGTGTGAGCGCACAGCTTGCAAGTGTACCGCGCATAGTGCGACGCAGTGTGCTCCGCTAGCGATGCATCGTCTATGTACACGTAGCACACTTTGCAGCAGGACTTGCCGGGTTTCTGTGGTGGATAGTTGAAATAGAAAGTTATCTATAGTCTGGTCCGTGAGCACGTAGAATTTTGTCCAATGACCCCAAGCTACCCATCCTTATCGCTCGCGCGTAATTATGTTGCTGTCGCGCTCGCACACTCACTGCGGGCGCCCGTCGCACAGTCGCGACAGCAATATAATTACGCGCGAGCGATAAGGATGGGTAGCTTGGGGTCATTGGACAAAATTCTATGTGCTCACAGACCGGGCTTTATAATATAAAAAGGATTCGCAAAATGTGTTGGTAAGCGTATAACTCAACAATGCCTGAACCAATTTTACCAATTCTTTTTTTTAAATGTTCGTTGTAGTCCAAGGATGATTTTTACGACGAGATTTGAATAATTTCCTGGAAAACCCCGGGCGGAAAGCTAGTTTAATATAAGACAATAAATTCTAGTTTATGGTATAAACTAACTAGTCTATGGACTAACTAATATGGATACGACAGTTGAGGCGAACATTTTGGATGTATGGTGACAAAAAAGTCACGGCGACAAAAGTCACCCGTGCTCGCATAGAATATTCTGTTCTATAGGCTATAGAATATTGTTAGGGATCTTTATAAAAACTTCTATAATCTATAATATATCTATAATCTATATAATATATAATAATATTATAAAGAGGAAAACTTTATTTGTTTGTTTGGTTGTAATGAATAGGCTCAAAAACAACTGGACCGTTTTTAAAAATTCTTTCACCATTCGAAAGCTACATTATCCACGAGTAACATAGGCTAAATTTTATTTTGGAAAAAAATAGGGTTCCGTAAAATATGTAGATAATGTAGTCCACGCGCGCGAAGCCGCGGGCGGAAAGCTAGTAATCGATAATGTAACGTTTAATGAATTTAGGTATTTAATCAGGCCATTTTTCGCTATTGTCACCATAATATGACACACATTAACTAGGCGGTATGAAATACACCGGGCCAGCTAATAACAAATAACGCCCGCATTCACAAACATTACTATGAGGTCTCACAGTGCGCGTGGACGCACAGGGTGGCACACGAACCAATCACAGAGCTCTATTCAACGCTGTGCGGTCGGTTTGCTGCTTCATCTTCTTCATCATCATCCTACTAATATTATAAATGCGAAATTTTGGATGTCTGGATGTTTGTTACTCTTTCACGCAAAAACTACTGAACGGATTTTGTTGAAACTTTACAGTATTATTGTTAATAACCCAGAATAACATAAAGGCTATAATTTATGACGATATGTGACAAACTAAATGTCACGCGGGTGAAGCCGCGGGCAATAGTTAGTTTGTGAATACGGGCGTAAGTTACATACAAAAAAAAAACAACTTACAGCTCTGTGGTCGCTGACGAAATGGTCCTCGACTTGCTGTTGTGTGTAGAAACCGATTATACAAAGTTCGCACTTGTACACCGAACTGGCATACTGGAGTTTCTGCTTCGATTCCTCTCTGTAGAAAGAAATATAAAAATTAAATATTAACCCCCTTACTAATAAAAAGTTACACAGTTGTTGATCACTGTTTTAAAATGACATTTCCATACTAAACGTCACTTTAAAACACTGATCAACGAGCGTGTAAGTTTTATTAGTAAGGGGGTAAGAAAATAATTATAGGTATAGTTCTTGCAACTCACGAAGGCGAGTGAGCTTTACTTGTGTGTACATGCACATAACGATAGTGTAATGTCTATCAGAACTTTTGAAAACGAACAGTAGCGAGCCACCACACGTGTAAAGCTCGCTCGCCTTCGTGAATTGCAACAACTATTCTGCTGGGAAGACTCGCTAAGGACCTACAGAAGAGACTGGAGTGGAGAATTTTTGTTGGAGGCCAAAACTCACTTTGAGTTGCTACGCCAGCTGAAGTCCGGTCGCCGAGCAGATAGAATTTCGTACAATGACCCCAAGCTACCCATCCTTATCGCTCGCGCGTAATTATATTGCTGTCGCGCTCGCACACTCACTGCGGCCGCCCGTCGCGACAGCAATATAATTACGATTGATTCTATTGGTTCTTTCTTTTTCAAACACATCCCTCACTACGCATCCCCGCACATCTCTGGTGGAAACGCAGCCTTAGGCAGTTCGATTTTTTAATTTAATTAAAACTAATTATAATTTTAAATTAAATATTTTGTAAATTAAAAATCGTTCAAACAAAATTGTACCATTTATTTAATACCTTAGTTCCAGCATTTCAGTTTCCGACATGTAGTCCGTAGTATAGCTGCACTTCGGGTCACTCTTCTTCTGTGGCTTCACTTCTATGACCGGTGTTTCCAAGTTGGCAATGTCTTTCACTTCGGTGTACGTTGCTGAAGGTGCTATTAGAGCATCTGTGTTGACAACTATGTGTGACATCACACCGGTCACTGGATTCTCTAAAACGATCTCTGGTACTGTAACGAAGAAAAAAGAGTTTTGATTTTGTATAAAATATACCAACTGTTTTTGCCTCTAGCTCATAAAACTAATGGCAATTGGGGCAGAAAGTTTCTCGAGTGGCGACTATGGACGGGAAGACGTAGTGAGACTTCCCGCTAAGTAGACCGACGATCTAGTCAAGGTTCCTAATTACTGCATGGAGTTCTACTTGAGATAAATAAATAGTAAATATTCATGAATAAAAAAAGATTCATAATATTGCAAGAAGGCGCTAGATACAAGTCGCCTATCGGCCAATCTGGAAGTCATTGGGGTAAGCCTATGTTCAGTAGTAGATGTGGCTGAAATAATGCTGAATTCTTCTTATAAATGAATTGCTGTGCATTAGCCTCGCTAAAATTCGAGAGCAGCTGGATTAATTTGGCTTATTTTGGTTTTGAAATGATAGTCATAGTCCAGGGATGTTTTAAACCGTAATAAAACAGGGGAAAATTACGATTTCCACACGTGCAAAGTCACAGGCACAGCGTAATAAATAAAAATACCTTCTAAAATCTGAGTGTCGATGTTCAAATTGATGTTGTTCCGCCAGATGTCATGATCCTCGCTCTTGACCGCTTCCACCACAGGGAGTATGCTCTCATTGGGCCAGGGTTCCTGTGCGTAGTCGAAGTATATCTTGTCGTAATCACATTTGGTGCTGACTTCCAGACACGATAGAGATTGGGACATGTATGTGTGGTCCATGCTCTGGAATATAAAATAAAATAATGTCAGTTCATTCATTCGTTTCAGCCGAAAGACGTCCACTGCTCCACTGCTGGACAAAGGCCTCCCCCAAGGTTTTCCAAAAAGGTTTGCTAAGTAAATAAAGATGATTCTACTTGTACGGTGCGTCACCGTACAATTGCAAACATCAGCAATATATTGCTATGCGCGGCTGACCCAATTTTATATTTTATGTTTTACATTATTTTAAGTTTAGTGTTCGATTTAGCAGCCTAACAAGTGGCTGCGACTCTCGTTAATCAATTATTGTACCTTTATACGTAATCAAGTAATAAATATCTACATTCAACAAGGAGTTTGAATCATTCTATTCATAATCAACATAATCAAGAAAGGTGTATAGCTAGCAATAGACCATACACTACTATTATTAAATGTAAATATATGTTACTAATTAATAGTCTTTTTAGCCATTTCAGCTAAGCTAAATATGTATATGCTAGTGTGTATACCCTTGAATCAGCAGTCACTAAAGCACTTCAATGTTAAATATTTGAGTAATTGGACTATTCCCACCTCTCGTACCCACTGCTGCAACTTCAGTGTAGCCAGGGTCAGATTGACAGCCAATAAAAACCTAAGTATTCACTACTTAAGTTTTTATTGGCAGTCAAGCTGACCAAGTTGGTCAAGTTTGTCCCAGGGGAAAGTAAGGAATACTCAATAAGTTTATTGCTTCCTTAATAGTACGTATTATTAGGTGTTACATTATACTTGGAGATCATTAACCTTTAACTGGTGACCTGAAGTCAACAGTGCGTATTTGGTGAGGTGACGTTTAAGAGACGTCAAAGAAAAACTAATGTACAAAAAAATTGGCTAACGTAAAATAAGTTTGAGGCCAAGAATTTAGTAACTTATATAGTTGTCCAAATAATATTAAAACATGGTTTAAAAAAACATTAGTTTTTGGTACAATATCAGTCTTTATTTGAGCAAGGTACTTTTCATTGAAAAAAAAGTTAGACACCTAAAATGGGCATACTAGCCCCCAGAAATACACCTTGGGACCTTCCTAATCATCATTTTTAGATAGTTTAGATACTAATCAACAAAACTCAGCAGGTAAAGCTATCCTAAGATAAGAAATTAAAAAAACTACAATCATCAAACATCACTTACTAGAAACGTTCACGTCTACAGACATCACAATTTTGCTTGCAGCAATTTAGGCACATAGGTTTATCATAATAAGTTCTAGTGAACCTAGAACATTTTATTACATGGCTAAGACAAATGGCACATGTTCTTTTAAACCCAGGATGGTTTTGGGACAAGGCAGAAGTCGGTCTAGGTGGTAATTCATCAACACCAACTGAACGCAGCTCGCGAGGTAGGGTAGTCATTATAAGCCACGAGTTTCAATTGAGGTATAACTAAAGAGCTATCCAATGATAAAATGAAGCTGCCCCTAGTTACCTTGTTAGTATTGTCGCAATCACTGTTTAAGACGTAAGAATTTATTCCTGAAAAATATCGTNTCGATACTGATGCCAAAAATGCAATCAGTAAAATTTTTGTCTGTCTGTCTGTATGTTCCTTATAAAAACAAAAACTACTCGACGGCTTTTAACGAAACTTGGTATAATTATTCATCGTACTCCTGGGCAGGTTATAGTATACTTAGAAATTCCCACGGGTACAGGAATTAGCGGGAAAATCCTTTTGTATGAAAAATCTAAACTGCTTAAGGTAGACGCTTGAAATTTGGCATGCAGGTACCTTAGTAAACTTAAAGCTTATTAATTACAATAGGATATTGCAAAATTCACACGGGAACGGGAATTAGCGGGAAAATCCTATTGTATGAAAAATCTAAACCGCTTAAGTTAGACGCTTGAAATTTGGCATGCAGGTACCTTAGTATACTTAAAGCTTAGTTACAACAGGATATTGCAAAATTCCCACGGGAACGGGAGTTAGCGGGAAAAACATTTGTATAAAAAAATCTAAACCGCGTAAGATAGATGAAGGGGGTAAAACGGGATCCATGCGTACGAAGTCGCGGGCGGCCGCTAGTAGAACATAAAATATAATTTTTGACCAGCTTTATTTTATTTCTGGAGTGGAAGGCGGATCTCAAAAATGCATATCTAAAGACATTATTCTATTCTATGTACTGTAACTGTACCTATTACTATGTAAAAAAATAAATATAAACGAAAAGGGGTAGGTCTACATTCAGCAGTGCCTATGGGACTGAAATTGTGAATTAACACTAGGAAAAAACCTTGTGACTTACTTTAATTTTAAAGTAAATCACAAGGTTTTTTCCTAATCATTGTAAACGGCACTTACTAAAGTTGTATGTAGCTATCTTTAAAAGAACATAAAACTTTAATAAATATTAATAACAGTAGATTATTGCATCCATCCTAATAAGCTGAGGTTAGATTAATAGAAGTTGGCGCAGTAATTGCCTCGGAGGGACCAAGGGAGTGATTTGTGAGCTTACTCCGGCACTCGGCTTCTTCTTTGCATTATTTAAGATTATTATTATTACACCAAAGAATCAGACGCAAATTGTAGTACTAATTACCACATTGAGGTATTATTAAGACTGAATCACTTTTAGTGGCATAATAAGGGTCAGAGTAACGGATAAGATAGATGAGATTAAAATAAATAAATGAGATTAAGAGAAAAAAATATTTTACAACAAGAAAAGTAGATTGAAGTAAGACAAAGACCATACATCTGTGAGGACGGATAAGAGACAGATAAAAAATAAACCTACTATGTACGATGGTAGACAGTGATACCTAAACCGAAACATTTACTAATGTGTCTGACTACAAATACATTTAGACTGAGTTGCACCACCTAACTTTAACCGTAACTATGACGATAACAGGTGCTTTTTTGTATGGAGTTTGACAGATTTTTGACGTTTGTTAAAGTTAAAGTAAGATGGTGCAACTCAACCTTANTGGGCTCGTGCGCCTCCTACTGAGCGAAGGAGTATGGCAAACGCGGACGGTACCAAAACGCACAGGGAGAAGCGACAAAAAGGCGGGGAGATAAATCAAAAAAAACGAAACGCGGTGTCTGAGAGACGGGCAGGTCACCAGTTAAAGGTTAAGGACCCTGTTGGGCACTGAAAATTCAAAATCTATAGGCTTCTTTTTATAGATAGGAAATTAGTCAGAAGAACATAGGAGGATGTTTGATTAGGGTTTAAGCCCTATTTAGTATGGTACGCATAACATAACAACAATAATATTACCTCTTGCGACCTGCTCATAGCAAGCACACGGAGGTGATCCTGTGCGTTCTGGACCTGATTCTTGAACTTTGAGAAGCGCTTCATGTGTGCAACGCATTCCCAGCAGACATACTGAGACACTTCCAACATTGGGTCTGGATCTCCGTACTGTGAATGTAAAAGAGAAAAACTTTTTGAGACATTGTAACAGTTGACCGTCTAATGATAGTTATTGTATGGGATTACATTTCTAGGTGTAGGGTTCTAATCCTACTAAGGGCATGTGCTTGGTATACTGTTCTATTAGTTGATTTTTCATGTCATAACTAAACTTAGCCAATTAACGTAAACTAAAGCTTACATGCATAAAAAATGTGTAAAAACTTAGAGATAACTTGTACAAAAGATAAATATGGTAGTCTACAATAAAAATAAAAAGAGATATAGGTATTAGGTAGTAAACAGTAAAAATAAAGAAGAAAGATTTGATTGGTTGTGTGTATTGAAGAGGCTCCAAAGCTACTGGACCGACTTAAAAAATTCTTACACCATTAGAATCATACATTATCCCTGACGAGCATAGGGATCAACAAAGAGATTTTTAAAGGTGGCATGAAGTTTGCCGAGTCAGCTAGCAGGCTTAGATTAGCAGGTTTATTTTCCCATGAAGTGTTAGATTTTGAGAATGATTGCAATGCCTCCTAGCAGAAGTTCATTGACCTCTGTTTTACGTAACAAACCTATCATTGTAAAGCTTGAAAAAGTTTAATTAACTTAAAAACTTTTATCTTACCCTGTCGCCCGCGAAATCGGTCATCAGCAAACAAAATATGTGGTGTATTTGAGGCATATCATTCAGCGAAAATAGATCGCGGTCGCTGCTCAAGCATGTGCTGCACACCGTCCTGTAGTCATTATCAACGTCCTGCTCCATATTTTATGCGGCAATAAAACAACTTTGAAAAATTTTAATTGTTTACTTTTGAATACTTTTCAAATCACAACAAAAAGTAATACTTCCATGTAAAATAGACGAAAATTGATGAAGAACATTCAACTCGACTACGACACCACAAAATGGCTGCTTTGCTCAGTGTTGCAATAAGTAAAAAAAAAATGTTTTGTGTAACTTTTGTACAAAACATTAACTTACACTTTCTCACATACTGCTATCTCATTCTTCTTGCGTAAGCAAGCAAAGTGAATACTCGAAAAAGTCAAAAGTTTTGTAGAATATTCGTGTGAGGTAGGTTTTAAATACATTAATAAAATTAATTTTATTATGTATTTAATTAAACAATATTGTGTAGTATTCTGTCCTTGCAGATGGTATCATTGTAAGCTATAGAACGTAATTTTTTGCGTTGGGAAATTGATAAAAACCGGAACTGTCAACGAAATTTAAAAAAAAAATTGTCCGACTCAAAAAAATTACACATTCACATCACTATTTTTTCAAAATGGCCGCCAGTGGGTAGACACTTCTCATACAAAAACTAGTCTCTATATGTAGCAATTGATATACAACCTTATCCCTTAAGCAATAAAGTGCATTTTGGATTGATTTCACTATAGCAGGGGAACCCGCGGATCAATACCACCATACTAAAAATAATTGTTAGTGTCCTTATGTTGGTAGTATTGTTAGTTTGACAAATGAAAGGATTCCGCTTCGCGAGTGTCAGTGGCTACACGTGTTTCTGGAATTCTAGCGTATTTTTTTGTAATTTCACTGTTCATTTTTACAGAAAACCAAACCTAAGCTCAATTATCAATAAAACAACGGTGGTGGTAATTTAACTTGACCTATCCTTGGTAAGTACCTAGCAGAATGGAGGTGATTCCTCCCGATCCGCCTGATCCTCCAGATCAGGCCGCCGATATGGAGCTTTCCCCGCCTTTATTTTCACAAACGGCTACCAAACGCCGTCTTGACACGGTAGGTGATACCGAGCCGGCTAAGAGGACGAATACAGATGGATCATTAACCCAAAACAACCAACTGATGTACACACACCCCTCACTTGTAATAGCCCCAAAAACATATACTGACGAAGACAAAGGCCCCTTCTTGGTTCATGTGTCTCACATAGAATCGGAACCTTCTTCTCCAGCCTTCATTCAACCTATGAGGTTTGGCAAATTCTTGGTGACCAATAAAATTCAGGGAATCATCTTAGACGGCGTTACAAAAATCGGCAGAAACAAGATCTCCGTTAAATTCATTTCAGCCAGTGCAGCAAATAACTTTCTAAACAATGAAATTTTGCCTATGTACAAGTATGTTGCATCAATCCCCACTTACAATGTGACCCGCATGGGCCTCATTAGGAACATTCCTACTGACTGGTCTATGGAGGAACTTGCAGAATCTTTAACAACCCCCGACGGCTGTGGTATCCTCCTGAAGGCTCGTCGGTTAAATAGAAAACAGATTAGGGATGATAACCAAATATCGTGGGTCCCCACACAATCAGTTGTAGTAACATTCAAGGGACAAGTCCTGCCACAGAGAGTCTTCTGCTGCCACAATTCCATCCCAGTCGAGACTTACCAACTCCCGACAATCCAATGCCTCAATTGCTGTCGGTTTGGTCATATCAAGGCTCAATGTAGGTCTAAACCTAGGTGCTATCGTTGCACTCAACCTCACACAGCAGAAGAATGTAATGTCACGGAGGCCAAATCCACTTGCATCAATTGTTTAGGTCACCACTTTGCCACAAACAAGTCCTGCCCAGAGCACTCTCGACAAAAGGCTATCAAAGTATCAATGTCTCAGGATAACATTTCCTACTCTCAGGCCTCCTCTCAGTTTCCTCCTGCCCGCAAATCATATGCGGACATTGCAAAATCTCCATCCTCTCAATCCACCAGTCCCGCTTCTCAACCTTCCTTACGTCACTCCTCACATCCCAACCAAACGATCTCATACCGAAAGACCATTCCCCGAACACCCCGCCCTCATACTCCGTTAGACAAGGGTTACGATAAGCAGGCGCACCAAGCCATAATTGGTAATTGTGCCTCCTCCCTGCCTAATGGTTGTGCCCTGAACGGTGACTCTTCTCCTTCCCTGGGAGAGGATAACCTTTTACAGATGGTTCTCTCTCTAATCATTCATATTGTTTCTGGTCGTAATACCGCCCTACCGCCCAACGTTGCGCAAATGCTTTCCCAAATCTCGCAGATAACTTCTAATAATAATGGACAAGGAGGTGGTCCAGTGGAACTGCCAAAGTATTAGGCGCAAAAAACATGAATTAACTTTTCTTATTAGTAAATACTCTCCATCAGTCCTAGCTATCTCGGAGACGTGGCTGGTTCCTGGTTCACATTTCCGTGTATCAGGATACGCATGCCTCCGGGATGATAGGAATGATGGCTACGCGGGAAGTGCCTTACTTGTAAGACGCTTCCTTCCCTATAATCAACTCCCCCTTCCTTCGCATAGCCAAGACATCAATGTCGTGGCTATACGAATATTTGATATCTCCCTTTTATCTGTATACATTCCCCGCCCTAACGCTTCCTCCATCAATGAACTGCGCTCTGCTATTCTATCTGTCCCTCCTCCAGTTATAATCTTGGGTGACTTAAATGCGCACCACGTTTTATGGGGCTCCTACCATTCCGACTCTCCAGGTTCATTGCTCCTAGACCTTTTGGATGAACTTGACCTTTGTATTTTGAATAATGGTTGTCCAACAAGAAGATGTGCTCCAACCCAAAACCCAGCATCGGCCGTAGATGTGTCATTCTGTTCTCCAAATTTGACCTCACTCTGCTCATGGAAAGTCCTAAACAGCACATTTGGTAGTGATCATTTCCCCATTATAGTATCTTTGCCTAATAATAACTCCCCAATAAATCGCCCACCTCCTCTTTTAAAATATAATTTAAATAAAGCTGACTGGCTTGCCTACCATGCATCAGTCAATGAAAAATTGAAAAATTTACCTTCAGTCAATAATGATAATGCCCTCTCAGTATACTCTGATTTTGTTAACACCTTACAAACATCAGCAGATGATCACATACCATTGAAAAATCCATCTCGGAAAACATCTCCTCCTTGGTGGGATTCTGAATGTACAGCCAGTGTTCAAAAACGTAAGGAAGTTGAAAAAAGGTACAACCGTTCAATGACCATGGAGAATTACATCCTTTACCAAAAAATTGCTGCACAAACAAGAAAGTTTTTAGCCAAAAAAAAGAAGAAGGGATGGATAAATTTTTGTGAAAATATGTCTCCAAGGACCCCTTCCTCTATTGTCTGGAAACAAATTAAAAGATTCCGTATATCCTTAATCCCTATAAATGCCCCGTCTAACAACCCTACAGCTTGGCTAAATGATTTCGCGGACAAACTAGCCCCTCCCTTTGTTCCTTTTATGGATAGCCTCCCTTCAATAAGTTGTTTTCTCCCCCAATCAAATATCCTAGATCGGCCCTTCTCCTTTGAAGAACTTTTATCAGCTCTTGACGGCTTAAAGGATTCATCTCCTGGAGCAGATGGAATTCCTTACTCTTTTATAATTAAATCTCCGGAAAGTGCCAAACTTTTCTTCCTAAATTTAATAAATTCGTTTTTTGACCAAGGTACTCTACCGGAAGCTTGGAAACAACAAATTATAATTCCTATTCCCAAACCAGGAAAAGAACCTTTGGATCATAACTCTTACCGTCCTATTGCCCTTTCTTCCGTTCTCCTTAAAATAATGGAACACATACTTAAAAATCGTCTCGAATGGTTCTTGGAATCAAATAATATTTTGGATAAATCCCAATTTGGTTTCCGCAAAGGCTTTAGTACTTTAGATAGTCTAAGTATTCTAACGACGGATATTCGCGTAGCTTTTAAAAACAAGGATTACCTCGTTGGGGTCTTCTTAGATATAGCGTCTGCGTACGATAATGTGTTGCTCCCAATACTCAGGCAAAAATTGCTCTATCTGAGTATCCCGGAGAAACTGGTACGTCTCATCTGCAACACGTTGATGTCACGATCAATAGCAGTGAGATACCAAGACTCTATGGTTCCCCGTTTAGTCTGGAAAGGGCTCCCGCAAGGATCTGTACTCAGCCCTTTACTTTACAGCATTTACACATACGATCTTAGTAGAACTGTAGACTCTTTTTGCAGTATCCTTCAGTACGCAGATGACATTGCCCTCTATCATTCATCCAAATCTATATCCGAAACAAGTTCGCGCCTAAACTCTGCTCTAGAGTATCTTAATGCCTGGATGACAAATCATGGACTATCTATTTCAGTTCCAAAATGTAGTTGCGTCACTTTTACTCGAAAACGTAACACACCAGAGGTGGATATAACATTAAACGGTGATAGCGTTCCTTGTATCAACCAAGTGAAATTCCTAGGTATAATTTTAGACTCTCGGTTATCAGGTATTCCCCATTTCAATTACATTCTTGGTAAGGCTGAAAAAGGGCTAAATATCCTCCGTGCCCTTTCAGGTACCTGGTGGGGTGCTCATCCATACTCACAAAAATTACTTTATAACGCCATTGTTCGCAGCCACTTTGATTATGCTTCATTTCTTTTAGACCCCTGTAATAAATCTGCTCTTGAAAAACTTAATAAAACCCAATCCAAATGTCTACGTATAATACTGGGAGCTATGAAATCCTCACCTATTAATGCTCTGCAAATTGAATGTGTGGAACCTCCCCTATATTTGCGTAGACAATACCTAAGTGACCGGTTTTACGTTAAAATCTCTCAAAATTCCAATCACCCTTTGAATGAAAAACTGGCTCTCCTCTCTTCACTAAGTAGCTCTGCTGACTCCTCTCAGAGTACACCTTGTGTTTTGTTGAGTTACCAAAAATTTAACCGCCTCCCTACTCCAATTGAAAAAATCCCATTGAATCCTCTCTTCAGCAATAGCTATGATTCCCTTCTTTTCCATCCCTCAATAATCCTTAACTTTGGCATTTCTAAGGACTCCTGCTCAGCTGGTCAGGAATTTATCAATATTGTCTCCGAGCACTGGCAAGGCTGGCTAAAAATTTACACTGATGCCTCCAAGCTAGATGAGGGTGGATGTACTGGCGC